GGCTTTCAAAACACTGAGGTCAGCTCGCATTTCGTATTACGTAATTAGCAACTGGAATAATAAACTTTACATAAACATTTTCTGATGATATGTCTCGAAACTTGCTTGTGCTCCATTAGAATGTCTTTGTAAGAGAGAAAGTTGAAGTACAAGTCTTTCCTAACTAGGAAAAATGCATATCAATGAAGGCTGCATTTATAATTATTTAAGCAATGAAAATTACAAAATACATATTGAGGCCTTTATTCCTATGTTTCTGTTGATTAGATATGCCATGATTCAAGGAGTCCGATTTTCCTATTGTCATTAGATAATTTTTATACTTTTTTAAACATCAAATTCTGATTGGGTTTTGATAAACTTAAAGTAAAAGTGCTTCCTTTAAATTTTTGTACATCTCGGGTCAGCGGGTAACATGCATCAGACGATTTGAGGCACTAAGATATGAAGAGAACTACAACACTTTGGAACGAAGTCAAAGTAAACTTTTCAACGACACACAAATAGTTGAAAAAGATGACCAACAAAACCGAGATTTATGAGATAAAAGAGAGAATACGGTAATTTATCTTCAATAGCGGCCTCGTTCCTACCAGAATTTAATCAGTCAATTAATCGTGTAGATACATTTGGAAAGAGATCTAAACTACAGAACGGCAACATACGTAGGCAACTCGCTATATTTTCTAACAGCCTTGCCAGAAGAGAATACGACGCAGTGTTACGCTTTTATTTCGATCTGTTCTTCATTGATTTCAATACATTTTTTAAAGCTACGCGCGAACACCGTTGAAGCAATCAAAGAACCCTACTATCAATTTGAACATTTTCTTAAAGACGGACGTAAGTAGTAGGAACGGGAGCGAAATTTTGAACGTTTTAAAAATCATAATGCGGTCATTTCCAGAGTAAGTCCTCAATTATCGGATGACGTTAATTGATAATCTGAAGAACATTTTCTGGTTTCCTAGGACTGGATTCCGTGCCTATCGATTGCTTCTTTTTCAGGCTCAAGTATTTTTTTGAATTCGTTCCTGAATGAACGGTTCATAAAACCATAAATGAACGGATTTATGAAACTGGATGAGTAGATTAGAAGAGTCGCAAAGAGTGCAAGCTGTCGTGGTATGAGCCACATATCAGACACAAAAAAGATGATATGAGCTGGTAACCAGAGGCTGAGAAAGCCGACGACAGTGACAAGCAGAATTTTGCTGACTCGAACATCTTCTACATTTGCACTCTGCCACGAAACATTTACATTGTGTATCTTCACAGTCTTGTAAACCTTCCAGTAACAGAAAATGATGACAGCATACGGCGAATAGAAAATAATTACTGCAGTTGGT